GTCTCTTTTGTCTGGTGGTTGTATAAAACTACCATAAAGACATTTTGATAGTTTCTCATTTCTCCTTTGTCCACTAATACTAACACAATTAGCTATGAGCAAATAGTTAGCTTTAGAAAGGGTTAACACCAATTTACAGCTGAAACAAAAAGTTTCAGCAATGGGTTGGAGTTAGTCTTTATTAATGCTACTAATTTTCTTTATAATAGTTTAGTTTCTCTAATATACAGGATTTTGAGCATCTTCTATTTTTAGCTAAAAACTTTTCACATCTTTAACACATTATCTCCATATTTTCTTGTTTCTAACCGCCAACTTTTTAAATGTTGATACTTAACCATCTATATACTTTACACATACCTAAACTATTTTTTATTTTTTATGACGCACCAAATTCAACAAATTGATTAAACAAATTAGTGAGTGTTTAAACATTTAGCATAAAATTGACAGAAAAATGAACATCATGTTTGCCAACTTTATTTTAATTTTTAAAATTTTTAAGTTTAAAAATTTTTTAAAAACAAACCAACAAAAAAATTACCATTTTTGTTTCTAAATTTGTTTTTGCATCTTTACTTTTCACTAAATATCATTTATGTTTTATTATTTTATTAAGGTATTTTATTATTATTATTATTATTTTATTATTATTATTATTATTATTATTTTATTATTATATTAAGGTATGGAAAAAAACAAACCAAAACATTCTGTTAACAGTCTTCATGAATGCGCCTAACCATTTTTTCTTTTACTTACACTGTTTCACTGGATTTTGGCGCAGTATTTCCCCATTTCAGCCAGGACATTTATGTTATTTATACGCTTGCAATAAAAAAAATGTGCATTAATATTGTTTAATTCACACAAGCTTTATTTTCTTCAATTAGCTTTTTTTTCTTTAATTAAACTTTTATTAAAATTAATTTTTTTTTCAAGATAATTATTGAAGAACAAACTTTTAATAAAATTAATCTTTTTTTTTAATAAGTAAATATTTATTTAAGTGCTTATTTTATCTTATTTAAGTGCTCACAATAACTGTTTATCTATCAAATTTTTAAATTTACTTATTTTGAAAAATAAGCTTTTATTAAAAATTATATATAAATTGTTTCTTTTTTTTCATAATTTTCTAACTACATTACACAATAAAACGTTTATTTTTCTGTTTTTATTTTTATTAATTTACTTAGAATTAAAATAAATCATTTGTTTGCTGTTTTTATTTTATTTTAACTATTTTATTTAGAGTTTAAAAAAAGTTTATCTGTTTTTATTATAATTATTTTACTTAGAATTAAAACTGCTAATGTCGATACTCATTTATGAGTGTTTGACACGGAAGTCAAGGCAGCCATTACACATTAGTTAATGGCAAGAAAAAGTCGCAGCACTTTTTGTATCAGAAAATGTGAACGAAAGTGTATGCAAATATCTAATTTATGTAAACTTCAAATTATGTCATGTTAAAACATATATCAAGTTTTACAGTTTTACTTCAAAACTGAATTGTGGCAACAATTCTTTAATTTTGATTTATAGTATTTGTTTGTTATTTTATAAAGTGTTTTGTTTATTAAATTGTTTAAAAAAAAGACTATTCAATAAACAAAAAATGCTTTAGTGGCTGAAATGGTTAGGTTATGGCATTCTGAGGTGGAATGTTGTGGTTCAAATACTTGGTCTAATTATTTTTTGATTTTTTAAAACAAAAAATAAAACATTTTTGAAGTTCAATAAATATTTCTACTTTTATAAAGTTTTACTTTTACTTAAAAATTGCATTGCGGCAAAATCTCCTTAATTTTGATTTAAAACACTTGTTTTCCGTTTTATAAAGTTATTCCGTCTTTTTTTTTTAAATTAGCCAAATTGGTTAACTTGCTGCGCTTCTGAAGAACTACATAAAAGTTCGCTTTGATGGTAATTTTTTTTAAACTTTTCCAATTTCCTAAAATACTAATTAAAACATCTTTAAAGTTCTTTTGTTGATATTTAAAGATATACTATAACAAACAAAAAAATAACAAACAAAAGGGTGAGAGTTTTTAAAAAGCTTAAAATTGCAATAAACATCAAAGCAGCGCAGTCTGCCACAGATGAGCCTTCAAAACCAAATTTTATATTAGAGTAATTTTTTTTTTTATAAATGTAATCTAGAGACCCCCAGCAAAACTGATTTATATTTTTTCCCTTGATTTTTGAGCTCATTATATTAATTTTACCACGAATATGGCCGTAAAAAACAAAACTAAAGTAAAACTACCGATAAGAAATTAAAATTTTGTAAAATTGTCAGTAAGACAGTTTTACGAAATTTTAATTTCTTATCGGTATATATTAATCCTCCAACATTATATATTAAAATGAGAAGATGAAATATGAAAATTTATTTTTTATGCTTGTTTTTTTCAAAAAGAACTCCTTAAAATGCGCAACCTTTTTTTTTAACACTTACCATTACACAAACACAAAAACATTTGGCCGTACTAAGAGAATAGGCACTAGTCCGGACATGTGATCAACTTTAAATTACACTCTCATATATAGATAGAAATTTACAACCAAATTTTCTGAGCTCAGCTGAGCGCAGTAGGTGCTAGGTTTCTTATTATAAATGATATCCAATCATAGATTTTGCTTTAATTTTAAATGGACATGTGTAAAAAAATGATTTATGAAAGAGAAGATTTATTATTTGTATTTATGTTTGCAAAAAAGTTTTTATTCATGTAAAAAGAAGAGTTTAGTTTAGTAAAGAGAAATTAGTTTGTTTGCAATAAAAAAGGTTTTTTAATTTCTCGTTTTGTTTTTTTAACTTTATTTAGGTGCTCCAAGAAGTACTTACGGTCTTATCACAGAGCACCACGGATGAGCATTTAATTGAAAGTTCACGCCTCCTTCCTAACCGATGTCGTAAAACTTGCCCAGAGGTGGGGTTTGAACCACAGATCCTTTGTTTCTGATGCAAGTTTTAATGTTAACTATTTAACTTTTCTAAAATGCCGTTTTCATCTAGAAAATTGTATTTTAATGGGTCAAATGTGTTTTGTTCATTTAAATATTAAATAATGTCCAAAAAATGGAAAAACAGTATTTTATAAGTGAAAAATTTTCATGCACCTTAATATTATTTTTTTTTACACTAAAACAACAGAGAGCACTACTCAATAAAATTCTCCAGGCCAAACAAACAAAGTATGATCTTATGATGACAATGCTTTGCAACTACGATACTAAAGTTTCCAGAATGAAGAGTTAAGGAAAAGTCAAAGACTCCAATCAACTCGAGAAGGCCAAGGACCTCTTGATGTACTAATGTATGATGTATATTATCCCCTAGATACATATATATATATATATATATATATATATATATATATATATATATATATATATATATATATATATATATATATATATATATATATATATATATATATATATATATATATATATATTTATATATATATATATATATATATATATATATATATATATATATATATATATATATATATATAAAATTAGATGAAAATAATATATATAAAATTCTTATATATAAAAAAATTGTGTTTGTAAAGTTCAATTTTATTGAAAGTTATATATTTATATTCCCAATATCAACAAAGTTAAGTACATAAAATAAACAAAGAAAATACTGTCTTGACAAACCATGACTACACTTACCTGTACGATCATAACCACTCCTGGAGACCAAGTATGCCCAGATTTAAATTCCCCAACCTCAAATACCTATATTTACTCATGCAAGTGCTACATCGAAAAAACATTGGGACATCCCAGAACCACCCTTGACCACCCTAAAATGACCATTTGAGTAGTCATGACCACTTCTAAAGACTGAATATGCCCAGATTATGCCCAATTATTTATATTTAGACAAACAACATGTCCCATCATTTTAAAAACCATCAAAATATATCATGACCACTATTAATAACCTCTAAAATGACAGATAGTTTGGTCATGACCACTCCAAACTGAAGCCTTAAAATGGAATTCTTGGCCCCAAAAAAATCCTTATAAATCTTTAACCCATAAATAGTTTTGCCATTTTTAGACAATTTTGGCCTACTTTGAAGCAGTAGAAATATTTGCGCATATGCCACGATAGAGATACAAGTTATTAATGTGCTTAGGTAATTAGTTGTCTACCCATTCAAATCAAAAACTATTAATTGAGGACAACATAATCTATAATAACCACTAAATTTAATCCCAGAAAAGAGGCACTTGCAATGTACTTTTGCAATGTTGCAAAAATAAAAAGTAAGAATGGCGAAGAAGCTTACAAAATAGACAATTAAGAAGAATGGTAAAAAAGCTTACAAAATAGACAATCAAGAAGAATGGCAAAGAAGCTTACAAAATAGATTGTCTATTTTTAAGCTTCTTCACCATTCTTCTTGATTGGTGAAGAAGCTTACAAAATAGATTGTCTATTTTTTAAGCTTCTTCACCATTCTTCTTGATTGTATGTTTTGTAAGCTTCTTTGCTATTCTTCATGATTGAAAGAACTTACATTGCAACTACATTTCACATATTAAAGAGACAATTTTTTTGAGATTGGCTAAAAAATATTGAGACAAATGTAAACGATTGTTAAAAAATAATAATTTGTTTTTGACAATTGTTGACATTTATTAAAAGTCTTTTTTTCCTTATCTTCATAATTCACACCCCACATCTATCTGACCATCATTCTCTGAATATAAATAAATAATAAATAAACTTTCCAATTCTTTCCACCGCAATTTATTTCAATCTCTAGTATTGTTTTTTTTCCTGGATTTAATGAAAATACATTTTCAAAACCAACAATTTAAAGAACATCTTGTATGCTTTTTTTAAACCTCTATCTTCTAGTTGACTGTGTTACCTACCTGTGTACCCATATAAACATATTTTTCTTTATTAATGTTTTACTGTTAAGTTTGTTGGTAATTTTAAATTATTATATTTAATTTAGTTATTGATTTTTGCCTAACAAAGCAAAATGAAACTGATATGGAAACTAATTATCAACGGTTGACTTTGCAATGGGCATCACAAGCTTCTTTAACTCAACGAAAAGGAAGAGCTGGTAGAGTTTCAGAAGGTTATTGTTTTCGGTTAATTTCTAAATCAATGTTTTATGAATTGCCAGAATACTGCACTCCAGAAATTCTAGTATGTTACCGAAATTTTGTTTTGTTAATATTACTTTTGATATCTGTTTTGCTTTAATATTGATAGATATTTTAATTTTCAATGTATTTCAATATATATAAAAAGAGTACTTAAATTATTTCAGCGTTCTCCGTTACAACAATTAGTTTTAAAAGTGAAACTGCTTGATCTGGGTTCTCCAGCTCATACTTTGATGTTATCTATACAACCACCTTCACTAACAGATATCCAAAAAACAATTCTGCTTTTAAAAGAGGTGTATTGTGTTTTTTACTAGTAAATAAGAATTTATTTACTACTTACTGATGATTTACTAATTATTTATTTCTTACTAATGATAATTACAATTTTTTTCTTAATTATTAAAATTTTTTTTCATGTTTTAAAATGTGTGTAGTTATAAGTTTTTTGTGTATATATAAAAGTAATCTTTGAAAAAAGTTATTAAAACTTATATATTTGTGAACTTGATGTGAACTTGAATGTGAACTTGAATTTAAATTAACTTTAAAAAGGTTGGTGCTATAACAGTTCGACAGAACGGAAAAATTAATCCTCTGGATGGTGACCTTACATTTGTTGGTCGCGTTTTGGGTTCTCTGCCAGTTGATGTGCGGATTGGAAAATTATTGCTTATTGGATATACTTTTGGCGTTCTTGAAGAATGTCTAACCATAGGTAAGCTTAATTTTTTTTTTTTTTTTTTTTTTAAATATGTTATACTAAATTTACTATTAATCTTTTTTTTAAGCTGGTTGTCTTTCACTAAAAAGCATTTTTTCTCGGCCTTTTCAGCGTGATCTTAAAGCATACTCGTAAGTTTTAATTTTATTTCTTTAAAAAAATTTGATTTTAATAATAGTTTTAAATATTATACATATATACAATTTTAATAGTTTTTAGTCTAATCAATATAATTATAAATCTGCTCCATAATTGTTTATCTTCCATGTAGTTATTTCTGTAATTATTTTAATTACACAAAATAATTTTACTCCTTTCATTCTTAAGTTTTTTTCATCATTTTGTTTTTTTGCCTTTTTTTTTTGGTTTGTTCTTCAAGCTTTCTAAAAAATTATATATAATGACTTCTAGTCTTTGTTTCTTAGTACAACTAGTAACTTTGTTTTGAATAATTAGAGTTAATGAAAATAGTTGCAAAAAAATAAAAATACACAGATACACACAGGGAACCGATAATTTGGCTGTTTTCCTGGGTATCCAGTATTGGCCATTTTGTTGCAGTACTCAACACCCGGTATCTTAAAAGAAATTTTTATTAAACATAACCTTAAACGATACAACTATTTGTTTCAGTGGTTTAAATTGTGTCAAAATATTATTACCAGGATTACTTTTAGTTTCAACTTCAACCAATAAACTTCTTGATATTATGGAGTTGATATAAGAGTATTATGGAGTTGATAACCACAAACTTCTTGATATAAGAGTATTATGGAGTTGATAACCACAAACTTCCTGATATAAGAGTATTATGGAGTTGATAACCACAAAGACCTATTTACTCAATATAAATGTGTCTCACCTAAAATATTTTTAAAAATTTATTTTTAGCAAAATAATCAGAATATATTGCAAAAAGAAAACTGATTTATATGAATATAAAATCAGTAATGCAAAATGAAAAAAATTAGAAAATACCAAACAAAAGAAAGAAAAAAAGTATTTTAATAACCTCTTTTTATTGCATGAGAGAATTTTTTCACAAGAGAATTTTTAGTAATTAAATTTTGAATGAATGATTTGATAATTTAATCTAATTGAGCATAATTCGCTTTTCATAATTCAGTTTTTGTTTAACTATACATTTACAATAGTTAAAAGTAAACAACTGTTTACAATAACATGTAAGACTTCTTACATGTTTATTGTAATACATTTACTATATTAATATATACATCGATATAGATATATTTACTATATAAATAAATCTCCTAATCTTTTATTTTTTATGACATAACTTTTGATTAATTAGCACATATTAGCAATTATTTAGTGATAAATTGTGAAAAAAAAAGTTATATATAATGCCACAATTATAAAACAAAAGCTGGAATTGTATTTTTGAAGTTGATAGTGTTAATTTTAATTTTAAAGCTCTAAATGTTTTAGGCATTAACGACGTCAGACGGCAAGTTATTTTAAATATTAACAATCTTGAGAGAAAAAGAATATTTATGGACATTAAATTTGTGGCCTTGAGTGTAAATATAGATATTTATTAAAAAGAAACTTGGTATATTTAGGCAAACTTAATTAGCACAAATTATTCAGTGTCAGAATTGTTTTTGTGAAAACAATTCAGCAATAGAGATTTCACAAGTTCTTATTCCAACTTTTTAAAATGGACCTGATGCCAAGACTTGGACTCTGTATTTTCTTATATAAAATTTTGATTTGATCCCAGCAAGGGATTGTAAGCAATTAGTGTTAAGTTGGGAGTTACTAGAAAACAAATAAAGTCGAAGAACAAGGAATGGATTGACAGAAGATTTAAAAAGTTTTAGGTTGTTTGAGTCAGAAAAACATGATGATGGAGAGAGTTCCAAAAAGTTGCAGTGCTGGGAAAAAAACTAGACGAATAAAAGTTTTTAGAACATGCAGGAACAGATACAGTAAAAGATCAGGACATTGCTGAATGACGAGTCAAGTGAGAATAAGTTTTGAGTGATGGAAATAGAGATGATAGCTCCAATATATATCCTATATATTGGATATATATATATGTATGTATGTATGTATATATGTATGTATGTATGTATGTATGTATGTATGTATGTATGTATGTATGTATGTATGTATGTATGTATGTATGTATGTATATATGTATGTATGTATGTATATATATATATATATATATATATATATATATATATATATATATATATATATATATATATATATATATATATATATATATATATATATATATAATGAAAAAGGTGAATGAGGTGAGAAAAATTCATGGAAAAATAATATAGTGAGCCAAGCAAGCTGTTCACTTATGCAGCTTTTTGTGCAAGCAATCTGTTTTTACACAATCCATCAGTTTAAATCAGGTTACTTTTTTTTTGATGTCATATATATTTTAATGGATTTTAAAATACAATAAATTTGGTTAAGATTTACATTATAAATTTTTAACAAAATTTGTTAAATGATAAAAATTGTTTTATAAAATGTACAAATAAATATTTTTAAAAATATAAAAAAAATTTAATGATAAAAAATAAAATCTTAAAACTTTTCTTAAGAAATATCTTCTTAAAAGACTGTGTTAATTTAATGTTTAGGTTATTCAAAACCCTTTTTATTTAAAATGTCAGTTTTTTAAAAAGTTCACTTATTTAAATGTCATCAAAGTTGTTTAAATTTAAAAAAGAAATGTGGAAATTCTTTAAAAGATTATTATATATTATAAAAATATAAGCTTATATAATTTATTTTAAAATTATTCAATAGATGTTATTTTCCATTTTATACTTATAATAAAAAAATATAAAAAGGAAAATACCCTACAATATATTTTACCGTAAAACAATATATTATTTACAATATGTACAATAATAATAGATTATATACAAAATATATTTTATTGTTAAATAATATTTTAAACCAAGTCTTTCAAATAAACTTTATACAAAAGTGATTTACTTTATTATGATATCTAACTCATTCAAAGTTTCAAAAACTTTTTTATTCAATATACTTTTTTATTAATGGGAAGATCTTCTAAACGCTATTATTGTAACAAGTAGTTCTTTTAACTACAATTCACTACACTACAAATTAAATTCACTACGCTCAGAATTAAAAAAAAAATTTTAAACAAATCTTTTTCAAAATTTTTCATTTATCATCAAAATATATTTTGTGCTGTTAAAGTTTATAACCCTCTAAGTTTATAAGATTATTTGTTATTTTATAAGATTATGTTAATATGTATATTATCAAACTATAAGTTAATAAGATAAACTATAAGTAATATTACAAACCATAAGTTATTAATCCTACACAAATAACTGGGTATAATGTCTGTTACATTCCAACATTAAATAATCCTACTCAAATAACTGGGTGTCAATAGATCAAAACCAATTAATTTGATAATACAAAAATTAAAACATTCACAACTTTTTAAAATTGATATTTCAGATTAATTTTCGATTTTTTATAATTTTAAATAAAATAAATTTTTATAATATGGTTCTAACAAAAAAAAAAGAAAAAAGTTGGTTAACTAATAACATTTTCATAAAAAATTTAGTATGACATTATATTGTGTTTAAAATAAAATTCTAATGAATTTTAATGCATATAAAGCCTACAATATTTTTTCAACTGAATTTCTTGAACACAAAGCATTTCATTAAGTTTCAAAATTTGTCATATCAAAAAGCACTTTTAGACCAATGCATACCCTTGGAACCCTTAAACCTATGGATAACAATGGGAATCCTTTAATCTTTCAAAATAAAACAGCAATTTTTCTTTAAAAGTTTTAAATTTTTCTTTAATTTTTCTGAAGTTTCTTTAAAAAAAGAGCATTATAAAAAGGATACCTTTGGTGTTTTGTTTTGAGAAAAGCTATAGATAATGTTATTGTAATAGTATAATAAAAGTAAATAAAAGATAATAATAGTATAAATAGTAGTGTAATAAAAGATAGTAATATAATGTAATTATTATTAATGATAGTCATAGTTGTTATTGTAATGTTTGTCTTCTTAATCTAAATCATTATGATGTCATAGATTCTAACTTAGTGATCTAACAAACAGGAGTAAATTCATTTTAAGCAATTGGGGAAAGACAAATTTAATGATCATTACCTGCAGCAATCAATTTTTAAATTTTGGACCCTTTTTTTTACTTATTTATATAAATGATCATAAATATAAGTATATCAAACATGTTTAGCGTTAAAATAAACATGCTTTACTTTTAATATAATAATTGTTACCTAGACTACACCACTTGGTTTTAATTTGCTTGGTGACCCACAAACACGATTAAAATAAAAACAATTTGTAAAAGCTTTCTAAATAAAAAAATTCGTTAGGAATTATTACAGAATGTCACACTAAATTTCTGTTTAACAAATTTAAAATTAAATAAAATTTTAATTTATAGTTTGTTTGTTTTTAATTTAAATTAAAAACTTTTTATTTGCTCCATTTTAAATTATATTTATTTATAAAAAGGGAAATATGCTATACAAAAATTAATGTATGATGAGTTTTTGTTTTGTGTTTTTATGTATGTATATGCATGAATGTGATGTTGTTTTATGTAATGAGTTAATGTACCAATATTTTAAATAACATTTGTGGTCAGTAAAAATAAGTTTTAAAATATTTTTGTATTTTTTAGAAATAAAATGCATTGGGCAAGATATTCTGGGAGTGATTTATTAGCTTCTCTACATGCTTTTATGGTGAATACTGTTTATGTTTTGTGCTATTTTTTTTTTCTGTACTTAAAATTAAAATTGTAATTAAAAAGTTATCATAGAAAATTAAAAATAATATATTAATTTTTTTATAAATTACTGTATATTAACAATACTTATAGAGTGATATCTTTATATATTGAATTTCATAATAAATATTATATTTATATAAGTATTATATTTATAGAATTATATATCTTTATCAATTAAGTTGTATAATAGATGATAGGTCTGTATAAATTTATATAACTATATATTATATATTATTTAAATAATATATTTATCTAAATATACAAGTTTTATTAGATCACAAAAATTTTTCTTAGTTTTAAAAAAATAGGAAAATAAAGCTTTAAGGTAAATAAAAAATAAATAAAGTTAAAATTAAGTTTATTATAATTGTTGCTGGGGTGCATTTAATGTTGATGCTCACTCTCTAGGCCTTATTCAAGCAGTTCAAAATGCTCATAGAATAAATAGTATTCATACTAGGGGTGTGGAGTCGTAAAAAAAAAGTACTAACTCTGACTCCGACTCCAATTTTTGAAATTTTCAGAGTACAGCTTGTCTCCAACTCCAATTTCGAAAAATTTTTTTTGAAAATTTTTTGAAAATTTTTTAAAATTCTCTAAAAAATATTACAGAATAATTTAAAAAAAGTTTTTTCTTGCTAAATATACAAAAAACTTTGAAGTATAAATATTTTGTACATGCATGTGCAATACCAAGAAGTTTTACTATTGTAAGAGTCGAAGTCACAATTTTGTATAGCGACTTTAACTCTGACTCCATGACTCCTACTCCACAGCCTGATTCATACACAAGAAAAACAGCAAAAATTTGAAAAACCTAAAAACACAAATAAAAGAGAAGAAATCTTGAAAATAATCAAAAAAAAACCTAAAAAATAATGAGAAAAACTCAGATGTAGAGTTTGAGCATACTTAAATTTATGCAAAATTTATGCAAAGTATCCTTATTATAAGGAAGACATAGGTGATCTATAAATTGTCCATAAATTAGTGAACAGTATCAAAAAAAGTTACTGAAACATTACAACACAAAGAAATGAACAAAGATAATGAACAGTTTATTTTACAGAATATTTTTATGTTTTGTCATTTTCCCCCTCAAAATACCATTATTGTTTTGTTATTTTTTCAAAAGTTTATTTTTGAAAGCTTGACTATTATAATCATTTTTAATGATAAAACAATTTTTTAACCAACCTGTTGCAGAGCTAATTTGGATCTGGAATGACTGCAGAAACATGCTGCTCCTACACACCCTGAACGAAACTTTTTATTGTTTTTTTTATGTGTTAGCAAAATATTTTGAAAGACCCTCAAGACCTTTAAACATTTAATGGGTCCCTGATGTTAGCAACAAAAAAATTTTCTTTGAAAATAGATCAACCTGGTGTTCAAATGTATCTGTATCTTTGCTTCCTTGGTGTAAATTTTAAATACTCAAATAAGATTTCTTCTTTTTCTTCTTTCTGATAATATTGTTAAATTAAGTGTCTGTAAATGGTATTGGTATTGTAGACTTCTTATGTTCTTTGCCATCCTTGTCATTCTGTGCTGTACTTTTTCTAATATTTCAATGTCACCTTTGTTGTCTGGTGACCAAATTGGTGCTGCAAATTCAATCATAGGTAATTATACAATCATAGGTTGTTTGGTGACCAAACTGGTGCTGCAAATTCAATCAGAGGTAATTATACAATCTGAGGTTATTATACACAAATTTCGTTAGAAAGTTGTGTATAATTGCTTAAAAAGATGGCACGTGTAACTTAAGTTCTTTCTACTTTTAAGTTTTATGCAATTAGTTATATTTATAATCAAAGTGATAAATAGTATCTATTTAGTAAAGTGAATTAAATTTACTGAAATATTTTAATTTTTATTTGTAAACATCTTAATTACTCATTTCTAAATAATTAAATCAATAATTAGTAGTTTAGCTGCATTGTTTCCCTCTGCATTGGGTGTAAATGTATTAATTTTCTTTTCCACATAAATAACCCTAGAAGATAACAATCCAAGTTTATCTACTCAGCAAATTTGAAAACTACCAGTTTTCAAATCACTTTAAAAAATTAAGATTTAAGTTGTTTCAATGATTATGTTTGAGATCTTTTTTTTTTTTAATATAATATAAAGCATGTTTATCTTATGAATGAAGTAGGGGAGTAAGTTAAATATTTTTTTTTTCCCTCCTGCATTTAGTTACATAATCAGGTTTAACTGGTTTATTTTTTCTTTTAAAATTTTTTATTTTGTTCTTTTATTTAGTCATGGAAATTTAAAAAGATACACACTGGGTTTGGAATGGTATATTTATTATTATTTATATTAAAATTTGAAATGGTATATTTATTTTTTATTTATATAAAAAGATACATCAAGGTATTTGGTTATCTTGTCATAAAGTAGTGTAATAACAAGCTAGCAAATTATAAATGCAGTAATAATGGTGATAATTATAACAATAATAGAATAATTTGTAAAAATAATGGTAATAATAACAATAATAAAATAGTTAGTAAAAATAATGGTAATAATAACAATAATAAAATAGTTTGTAAAAATAATGGTAATAATAACAGTAATAAAAATGAGAAATTATTAGAGTTCATACAGAAATCAAAATTTCAACAGTTAGAAAAAAACTAAATCAAACAAACAAAAAACAGAAGAATTGCATTTTTTTCTTATATAATACCAGCAACTAATAACAAACAATTTTTTTTTATTGATTTTAATAACATAACTATACTGCTTTATTTTTTAAGGATATTGAACATTGTTAATCACAGTATTGGTATTTATTTTAGCATAGTAATTTAATAACATTTCTATAAAATAATTGTTTGTTATTGAATAGTAAATTAGTAAAAAAATAAAAAATAGTTTTCTACAAACAGAAAAACTGAAAAAAAGATTGCATTAAATTTCAATAAGAAATTCAATGTAATCTTTTTTTTTCAAAATTAATTTTTTTCTATGCCTCAGTTTTTTTATAAAATGTCCAAATAGTTTAAAAAAGAATTTATTTTAGTCCTGGTTTTTTGCATGCCCTAAAGTATTTAGGTCCTGGTTTTAACCTTTTTAAATTGTTTGAAATACTTGTGTATTTCAAAATGTAGGTGTACTATATTAAATAATTAAGCTAATCACCTTTTTATTTATAAACTAAGCTTTTTTTTTAACAAATATTAATAATGATAATATATAGTAATAGTTGTAATAATAAGAGTAGTAATAATAACAATAATAATAATAATAATAACAATATTATTAATATTAATCAAAGTATTAACAATAATAATGTTATTAAAATATAATATAATGTAACAATGAATTCACTTATTTTTATTAGACTGAGACAAAATGGGCACATGAAAACTTTCTTGAATTTAAGCGGTTTGTTGAGGTAAATCATTTTTTAATTTTTTTTAATTAATTAAACAGTTTTAGCTAACAGGGATATAGATTTTAGTTATTTAAAAGCTGCATAAGTAGGTACTTCTTTATAGTGGTTTAAATTTTGGATATAAAATTTTTTTTGAATGTTTTAATAAATTAAATTTAAACTTGATTTTCTTGAAAAAGAAAAAATAAACTTCTAAAACCCAATTTTTTGATAGTTATTTAATAGTTATAAAATATTTTTTTTATTACAAAAGTATTAAAAGAAGATTATTTGTCTTTTGAAAATTAGGAAATGTTAAGAGATAAAGACATTAAGAGATTAAGAGCCTACAAAAGAATAAATTTTTCTAGCTGTTAATAGTAGCATTTCAGGAAAAAAATTAGTTCTTTTTTATAAAAATGTGAAAATTTTGAGATTTTGTACACAATTTTGCTGAAATATTTGAACATATCAGTCATTATTTCAAAAACGTATAATACAAAACTAAATGATTGAAAAACTACAACAAAAGGGCCTTATTTTGCTTAAGCATACATAATGTTTTCTTTCACAAGTGGGGCCAGTGTAAGCAAAGCTTGTCAGCCCCACTTGTAAATTTTTTAAAAAACATGTTAATAAATTGTTTTTTGAAGGTTCTTTTAAGTTGTTTTCTTTTTTGTCAAAGGATTTGGTTTTAAAAAGTTAATGGTTACAAATATTTTACAAAAAATATTTCCAAACAAAAAGATTGCATATAAGTTTATGAGCTGATGCATTTTTGTGATTTAGAATGTTCTCTATTAAAACAGTATCTTTGTTTTGTTCTTCTGCAACCTACAATTTATGTCAAAACCCTTGCCAAAGTCTTTTAAAGCATTCTTCTATATTAGGAAATTGATTGATTTTTTTAGCAGCTTTTCTCTGAAATAAATGAGTCACTTTCATATTACCTTCTATTTCACTTTCAGTCCAAGATTTCAACCCAGTTGAATCAATAATGCAGTGTTGGAGTTATGCATTAAAATTAATGTAGGAGCAAGTTGTTTAGCTCCTGACACATTAAAGATAATATAATAAAAAGAAAAAAATATATATAATAAAAAAGAACTTTTTAATTTTCAAAAGTCAATTTTCCCTAATATGATGTTTATGACAGAATAGGCTAATCCTCTACACTACAGTCCCTGTTCTTTATGTTTTTACAGAAATATAGTTGCAAACTGTATTTAAAAATTGTAAAACAATTGTTAATTATTAGATTAGATAATTTTAAAATATAACTTTAACTGAATTTCACCAATTATATATTCAAAATATAATGTACTAATAATTTTTTTCAAAGTAATGAACCTATATTATTAATTTTATTGTTGCATGTTTATTGAGACAAATAAAATTAAATGGAGCCGTCAAATTTCAAAAAGTTTGTTTTTGAGAAGAACTTTAAGTTTAATGAATGGCGATGAATGGTGCTAATATGTATTTTAAAAGGTATTTTAAACATTGAAAAAATAAATGAAATTTTTTTATAAAATGAAAACTCTAATATGTATGGTTTTTAGGTGTGTGACAGAATATACTTTTGAACCAATCATCTTTTTACTCATAAAAATCAGTCTCCATTTAAATTATAGAACTAACTATTTGGCAACATTCCAGCTAACTTCTAAGCTATTTTTTATTTATATAAGCATGAAGTATATGTTTAAAACATCATTAACTTAAAATTTAAATTTAATGCATAGGCGTAAATAATATGCCATTTTTTAAAAATATCCAATTATTTTTATTTTACGCATGGTTTTTGTGACAGTATTTGGAACCTTTGATGTTTTTAAGCGTTGCACTTCCATCTATAATACTTCCATGCTTTTAGCAACAGTGTTAAATGAAAGTCCATCAATTGCAATGAGATAATAAGAGCATCTCTATTTTACATAACACTTTTACTTTTTTTACTTTTGCATAACACTTGTGCAGCCTCCATTGGCGTTACAAGTTTTGCATTGAGCAATTTCGTTTACTTTGCACTTTATAAAATGCTCCCAAATAGGAGTATTGCTTTTAAATTCTTGGAAAGTGATTATTTTTCTTATTGTTTTTCTAAATTGCTTTGAAATAATTCTTTAAAGTGTAACAGTTTAAAACTATGTGTAAGCTGTAATGGTATGCAACATTAATATTATAAAAAGTAATTTTATGTAAAAATAACATGGAACTAATTACCCAAACCAAATAAATCCAAATTTAAAAAAAAATGGTACAGGTACTTGGTAGGTACCTGGGTATGCGGTTCCTTGATATGTATTAAATAGTTTTCTGTCAAAACTAAGTGCAGCAATGTTAACTTTAACATGGCTGTCATATTATTATTACATAGGCGAAAAGATTTCATTTGACTTTTTCCCCTATTTGAATTATGAGTGACTTTTGAGTGAGCTCTAAATTTGGGAATTAGAGTCTTAGAGAATGCAGCTGTAAAATATTTTAATATTTATCAAGTTCCAGTCCCCTAAATATCTTCTCAAGATCATTCAATAAACTAATAAATAAATTAACAGAACTAAAAATAATTAAAGTGGTAATATAAATAATATAATTGTGGTAATTAAATTTACGGAAGAAATTCCCATCTCATAATTATGGAGCAATACCAGGTGATTATTATAAAACCATCAAATTCTATAAATAAATAATTAATATAATATAAAGTAAAGTAATATAATATATAAAGTAAATTTTATAATTGACATAGATTTAAAATAAATTAAACAATTCGTTTTAAACTGTTGAAAATTATTATCATATGATCATAATCATGATTATGAGAGTATTTTTAATGAATATAGGTTGAAATATTAAGCTCAAAACATGTGACTATGTAAAATTATCTAAGAAAAATGTATTTCTTTTATAGTGTATTTTACTGTGTATTATTTTGGTATCCTTGAGTTATGGTATGTTCTCAGAAGCTGAGTAGAATTTTGGAATAGAGCTTCAAAAATAAAGCTAAAAGCATGTATCATAACCATATATTATTATCCTATACCACATATGTACAGTCGAATCTCCACAAAAAGTAGTAAATAAACCACTGGATCTGATTTTTTTGTTTAATATTTTTTTTGAATTGCAAACACTGGCCTTACTGTATGTGTGGCCTCACATACACAAATTGATGCAAGTTAAATAATAGTCTGAATATTAACAATTAAGTAAGAAGGTATTTTTTATTTCACTTAGAAAATGTAATAGTTTTTGAACTTAAATTTTGTTGTAAGTAAAGTAAGAGTAAGTCAAAAACCCAGTTTTAGTTGTATGTTTTAGTTTAATGTTATTTTCACAATAATATTTATTTTTTGAGTAAGAGAGTCAAACACTCTTTGCTGAAAACTCTTTTGAATGTTGAAATGCTTTGTTTAGTGGGCTTTTGAGTTTGATTGAATAAATAAATAAAATTAGCCTTATTCAAGTTAAAAAATAAAATTTTTCTATAATAGACAATATTTTTAAATAGAAAAATTAAATTATCAATATATTACTATCATAGGTTGATGAACTAGTAATGGAGTTGCACAGCCGTCTTGCACAATTTAATATTCATGCAAATAAAAACATTTTTGAAAGGTATTTTTTGTATTAACTATTTATGTAATATATATATATATATATATATATATATATATATATATATATATATATATATATATATATATATATATATATATATATGTATATATATATATATATATATATATATATATATATATATATATATATATATATATATATATATATATATATATATATGTTTTTATATGAAAACCACTGTACCACTACGACAATGTACAACTTTATCAAGAGTTAGCAAGTTTGATTCCCATTATGTTGACAGGACATGGCAGGGATTAAACTTGGTACTTCTCACTACACTACACCACTACCACATTATTTCATTAATAATTGTTTTTTAATTTTTTATTAGTGAAGTGTTACCCAAAGATGATGAATTTATTTTAAAGGTTACATTGTTTTTATCTTCAATATTTTTGCATTAAATTTTTATTTATCAATTTTTGAAATCAAATCTTGATTTAATTTTAAAAACTTTTTTTTTTTTTTTTTTTTTTTTGCACAGCTTGTCATTGCAGGTGCTTTTTATCCAAATTATTTTCAAACTCAACCATTGGATGAACAAGAAGCCATCAAAACAATGTCAGGCCTCAATCCATTCACAACTGTTGTTGTAAGTATTATATTGTAGTAATTATTTTTTTATTTTGTATAGTAGCCCTTGGATTACTTAGGAAAGTATTTTATGATTTATTAAATAAAGTGGAAAATCTGAAAATGGAAAGAAAAAGAAAAAAGAAAAACCTTGAAATAAAACATGTATATTTGAAAGTCTTGTACATATATTTAAAAGGAGGTTGTTCTCAACTTGTTTTCAAGTGAGGTATTGGTGTAGTGGTAAAGCACTCGCCTTATAAGTGAGAGGAGAGAAGTTAAAAATTCCAACCCAGGAAGTTAAAATTAGCTTCCTGGGCTGTAGTGGCCTTCTTGGCCTTGGGGAGGTGAATTAACATAAAAAATTAACATTAAAAAAAAAAAAGTAAAGCAATACCTGTTTGAAATTCATGTTTTTGAGTTATACACTTGAGTGTTGTTTTTTGAAAAAACTATTATTTGGCAAATAAACTATGCAAAGGTTAAACTTTTTAATTTCAAATAAATTATCTAATTTCAAATAAATTATTATCTAGTAGATAAAATATTTGTTTATTTTTCTCCTTAATTTTTTTAAAATTTTAAATGATAAACAAAGTGGACACTTAAACAGTGTGGCTACAATGTAATGAATAAAACCTAATCAATTAAGTATAATACAATAACTTTCAATGGCTTCTTGTTTAATGTAATACCTAACTTAAATTAAATAAAATAATTTAAGTTAAATAAGATACTCATTAAAGTTATTATTTATAAAAATAGTTCTTGTTGCTAGTTCTCTTGGATATTTTTAAATTTTGATTTATCGTGATATTACATGAATATTAAGAATTATTTGTTGTTTAATTTTGAGCATAAGTTAGAAGTAAAATTCAAACAAAAATGTTGGTATGAAATGTAACGTAGTTACTCAAACAAAAATATAGATTTTTTTTTTTTTTTTTTAATTATCTTTGCTTCCAACAAGGCTGCAAGCAACCATTAATTGGTGTTGGAAGTTACTGGAAGAGAAAATATGAAGATTGTAGAGCAAGATAACGATTGACAGATGACTTAAAAGATTGCAAATTATATGAATCAGGAAAGCAAGATGAAGGAAGCGAATTCCAAAGAACTGATGTTCGAGGAAAAAAACTAAACGAATAAGAGTTTTTGGAGCACTTAGGAACAGTAACAGAAAAAGGATGAGACTTAATTTAATGACGAGTAACACAAGAATGAATTTTAATAGATGGCACAAGAGCTAGCTCTTTCGAGCTGTGCCCATTATAGTATTTGTAGAAAAGAGAAAGAGAAGCAACATTACGACGATGTGACAAAGGTTGAAGGTTGGCTGCAAGAGCAGGTCTAACTATGTTTAAAATGCATTTTTGCACCTTGTCTAAAAGAGAAAGGGCATCTTTTAAAGATCTGCGCCAGATATGGCAACAGTATTCCATACAAGATTTGAGATTTATAGAGATAGAGAATAGAATCCAGAGTAAGAAAGTGACAAGCTCGATAAAGAGATGCAACTTTAGCAGATGCTAATTTTGCAACGGATTTGATATAAGGTTTCCAAGAAAGATCAGAAGTGAGAATTAATCCTAGAAGATGAAGGGTAGGAGACTCATCAAGTACATTACTGTTCATAAATATAGGAAGGTGTAAACTATTGCAATAACGATTGGCTGAAAAAAATTGAGTTTTATCTGAATTAAAGTTCACCAGCCACCGTGAGCCCCATGCTGTAGCAGAAGTGAGATCCTTTTCAAGCTCAGATGCCCCCTGCAAGCAATCAGAGGGAGTTGGCTTCTTATCGTGATAAAAATAAATTGTAGTATCATCAGCGAACAATGCCACCTTAGATGCGAGAATATCTGGAAGATTGTTAATGTAAATTAAAAAGAGTATAGGGCCAAGGATTGAACCTTGAGGAACCCCTGAGGTTACAGAATAGGAAGAAGAGTGCTGTCCATCAAGGACAACTTTTATACTACGATTGGAAAGGAAGGATTCAATAATCTTAAAGATGTTTCCAGATACACTGTAAGAAGAAAGCTTATGGAGAAGACCAGCATGCCAAACTTTATCAAATGCTTTAAAAATGTCAAGAGCAATGGCCTCCACTTTTATCTAATGCGCGATAAAACCTATTGGTTATTACTGATAGCAAATCAGCTGTAGAACGAGAAGATCGAAATCCATATTGATGATCAGAAAGTAGGTTATGAGATTCGAGATGAGAGATTAAGTGTTTGTTAATTAAAGATTCAAAAACCTTGCTTATGATAGGAAGAAGACTAATGGGACGGTAGTTAGACGAATCAGATCGCTCTCCAGAATTTTTAAAAATAGAGATAACAGATGCTGCTTTCCAGCAGGCTGGAAAACAAGACTCTGATAAGCACTTGTTAAATAGTTTTGAAAGGATAGACGACAGCTCCGGAGAACACTTCTGGAAGACTATAACAGGTATGTTGTCCAGGCCTCAAGCTGTAGAAGAGTCTAAGCAGGAAATCACTTTAGATTCAGAAGCTGGCGTGATACGAATGTTGAGCAATGGATCAACCTGTTTGACGGCTATATCAGGTAGAATGCAACTAGTGGCATCAAGAGATGATATTGATGAAAAGTTCTTGGCAAACAATTCAGCTTTGTCTTTAGGTGAGGTGACAAAGTCTAAACCATACAAAAGAGGTGGAATTACAGACTTGCCATTATTATTGATACTATTAAAGATTCTCCAGAAGTCACGAGAGCCTAATTTTTGTGATGAAATACGAGATTTCATGATCTGAGAATAGCGGGCTTTGGCATTAGACAAAACCTTTTTACAATGGTTCCTAGCAGTAATAAACAGATGTCTGTTTTCTGGAGAATTGTTTTGCTGATAGATATGGAAGTAATGGTTTCGATTGGCAATTGCAGCAGCACAATGTGAGGAAAACCATGTAGAAGAGTGAGGCTTGACCTGGAATCATCAAGAGGGAATAAAGGATTCCATGCCAGCCTGAATCCATGAAGTTATGTAAGAAGCACATTTGTCAACAGGGAGACGAAAGATTTCTACCCAGGGCCATCACGAAGAAAATCATGGAAAGAGTCCCAGTCAGCTTTAAGGTAGTTGTAAGATGTACAATGATAGGGGGATTCTGATGGTAAAGAAGAATGAGATAATAGTTTTAGAGAGACCAAACTATGATCAGAAGCACCTAAGGGTGAGTGTGAAGAAACTGTGCACTGACTAAAATCAGAAACAAGACATAAGTCGAGTATAGAAGGTAAATGATTCGGGTTGTCTGGAAAGCGAGTTGGAAAGTTGACTATTTGAGTTAGGGATTGAGAAAGACAAAAGTTGTGGACCTTAATGCCTGCAGAGTCACTGACACTAGAGCCAAGCCATTCAGTGCGATGAACATTAAAATCACCGACAACAACAATATTGGCTGATGGATAAAGAATGAGGGCTTGGTCAATATAATCAGAAATAACATCAAGAAGAGTGCAGTCTTGATGAGGGAGAGCGATATAGAACAAAGAGAAAGGTGATAGAGTGAAGTGGTGATAAACGAAAGCACATAAAAGAGTAGTCTGTGGATTCAAACCTAGTTTCCGGACAAATGGGTGAATTCTTCCGAATGTAAATGCCCAGGCCAAGCATGTGACTATTGGAGTCTTTATGAATTAAAGGAAGATAACCATCAACACTTAGATCACAAGATGAGACAGCTGAACTCAAATTAGTCTCACAAAGAGCAAGTAGGTCTGGTGAACTTTGCAAGAGATAAGACTTAACAGAAGAAAAGTTATTTTGAAGACCACGAATATTGGTGAATGATAGGTTTAGCAAACTTGGTGATGACTGTGGTTTTTTGTGTTTTATAGTTTTTGTTTCTTTGTTCTTTGTGTTTTATAGTTTTTGTTTCTTTGTTTTTAAATTTGTTAAAGAACTTGACTCGAGACATAGATAGTACTCAGTACACTGTCTTATAGCCCAAGCAATTGCCTCATTTTCACTAATAAACCCTAAGCCGTAACAAAGGGCTCCAATGTGGCCTTGGCAATGCACACCAAAAATACAAACAGGGACACCATCCATGCGCAACATGGCACTGTTAGTACTCTGATATTTTTCAGCTGTTGATGGAATCAGCCTCTCTGAGAGCTACCACAGAGTTCGGGAAACCTAACTACCAGGCGGCCTCAGAACCATAAAACTGAGTTTTAGAGCTGTACCCTCATTTGGAGAAAATAGAATGAGTTGCCTAATCATAAAAACAGTGACAAAAGCAAAACCCATGAATTGAGTCAAGAAGATCCAGCATTCAATATCCTAAACTGGAAACAATGTATTAAAAATACGTCTGCTCCAGCCTAATAGATGAAGAAGGGGTGCGAGGCTGGTCAACAGATAGAATCTGTTTACCCCTTAAGTCTTTGCCTAGGAGGTTTTCTACAAGACAGCAGCTGGATGCATTTAACATCTGCCCAAGATGAGTATTTTTATCGAGACACTATCTCTAGCTTTTACTCAACCAAGAGCCCCAAGGCAGGGGGTGTTTTATGTCGGAGTTTGCATCTCCTAGCCTTTGCCTAAAAAGGCATATCCTACAAGGCAGCAGGACATGAGCAGATTGTACTGGGTTACATGTTACCAGTAGCAGGATAAACCTGATCTGACCATTAATATATATATATATATATATATATATATATATATATATATGTATATATATATATGTATATATATATGTATATATATATATATATATATATATATATATATATATATATATATATATATATATATATGTATATATATATATATATATATATATATATATATATATATATATATATGTATATATATATATATATATACATACATATATATATATACATATAATTAGTTATATATATATATATATATATATATATATATATATATATATATATATATATATATATATATATATATATATATATATATATATATATATATATATATATATATATATATATATATATATTTATATATATATATATATATATATATATAATTTACTTTTTAAACAAAATTCTGAACTAATAGAATTTGAAATAATGCAATGAGTTTTTTGTTAGACTTAATGCACTCAAGCGTTAAGTAGTGACAATTAACATTTAAAAAAATCACATTTTACCACAAAACAAAAAGCATAACAAATTGAATATTAAAGGTTATTTACAAGTAGCTATTTAAACGTAAGTATTCAAAATTTCTTATAAAATGAGATATGAAAGGTAATTAGCAACCAGAGTTGATATTTGACCAGGGTTGGGGCTGGGTTTTATACAAGATTCTAAATCCAAGGATAAAAGAAATCCTAAGAATATATTATTTTAATTTGAAATTATTATTTTAATTAGTATTTTATATAAATAAAATGTTTGTATATTTATTTCAACATCATCATGATCATCATCACAATTATCATCATGATATGTCATGTGATATGATTATATCATTATCTACCATTCCTAAACCTGCTACCTTTACATACTAATACCCAAACAATCTGCATCCTCATTACTCAACATACACAAACCACCTTAATCATCTTTGACAAACCTTTTTCGATACTATTCTTATTTATTGTCTAAGATCATGGCTTCTTTTCTTGTCTTGTTAGAGTCACACCGAATATCCATCTGATCATCATCTTCTCTCTGCAAACACAACACCTTATAAATAGAGGAGAGTTACCTAAATTGGAACAATACTTTAATTGTAACACTTGCATTTGTTTTAGAATTAAAATGTCTTTTAGCTTTATTTCGTTTTTTTTCTAGTAAAATGTTTTATTTTTTATATTTTGAGAGATTTTGAAGTTATCTCTTAAAAAATGCTTTGAAGCTTTTTTGCATCATTTTTTTATGTTAGGTGGTCTAATTAGGTATTCATACTATATTTATTGCACCAGGTAAACTTCTGTAGGTTATGCGGTTTTACCTGTTTAATGTGATGGGATTTAAAATCCAAGTAATAACATAAACTTATCTAATAAATTGCTACAAGCATGATATTGCAGTGATAAAACAAAATAATTTCTAGGAACTATAAAATCTTTTTTTTTTAATCAATCATAAAATTAAAGACTTCAGGATTCAAATAGTTTAATAAAAATCAAAATAGTTTAGTTTTAAAAATAAATAATAATAATAATAAGCCTCAAAAACTATGTTTTTGATTATTTTTGATTTTTACTAAAATAAAAGAGTCAAGAATAACCATCACAATGGTTGAAACTTTTATACAAATTTTTATTTGTAGAATTTCAAATAACAATTTTAATTAATTTGGAAAATTTTAGTTCTGCTTTAAGTTTTTAATTTAAATTAAATTATAAATATAAAAATAATTTTAATTGATTTCTGTTGATTTTAATGGGTATTTAAAAAAAAAAGAAAAGCTGTTACGATTAAGGAATCAAAGTATTTCAATTTATGAAATGGGTTTGCTTGATTGAAACAACACGGTGATTTGACAAACCAAATTTTTTTCTTATAAAAGTACAATCAATGAAATTAAATTATGGTTAAAAATAGTTTTCTGTTTGTATTAATCAAATCATAAATGTTTCATAGTTAAAGCATCTTTAATTAAAAAATATTCCTCAGGTATTTCAGCAACTCTTCCTTTCTAAATTTTGTATAAATATGTAGGAGTATTGTATGCCAGCATATAAATAAATATACACCCACAACAATAATAACAATAAATATGTAGGAATATTGTATGCCAGCATATAAATATGTAGGAATATTGTATGACCATGCCAGCATATAAATCCATATATATCCATATTATGTGTCAGTACTTAATAAATATTAAATATATGGACAAAATTTTTATGTTTGATATCCATGGTTCCACACTCGTGTGTTTTGGATTTGTTTCCATAATTTTATTTTATTTTTATATACAACATAAATGAGTTAAAGAAATTTTTTACTGATAGTTTTTTTTGTTGTTAACCTAATTTTTAGATAAGGAATGAGAATTTTTATTGTAGTATCACCATTAAGTGCATTACCATCCAATGTTTACGAGTCCATTTTATTATTACCCGCAATTAATTTAGAGGTTTATTAGATTTTTCTCTAGGTAAGTTGCTCTAGCCATGATATTATTAATTTTTACACAAATTGATTAAATATATGTTCTCATAAAGATAAATATAGAATATAGAATATATATAAATATAGTATATATTCTACATAGCTAACAAAAGGTTTAAGTACTGAATTTATGCTTTCAAGATATGAATTATGACTTCAATGAGTGTCTTTATGTTTATGACTTCAATGAGTGTCTTTATGTTTATGACTTCAATGAGTGCCTTTATGTTTATGACTTCAATGAGTGTCTTTATGTTTATGACTTCAATGAGTGTCTTTATGTTTATGACTTCAATGAGTGTCTTTATGTTTATGACTTCAATGAGTGTCTTTATGTTTATGAAACTAGTGTATCTGTAATAGTTTAGACCATTTCAGCAAATTTCAATAAATATTGGTCTAAATATTTTTTTTTCAATAAACATTGGTCTAAAGGCAAAATATATTGGAACCTGCTAAATAAATATACAATTTTTTGTGTTTTTTATAAAATAAATATTTATACTTGATTATTTGAATAAACATTTGTACTTGACTATTCAAATAAATATTTGTACTTGATTATTCAATTAAACATTTGTACTTGATTATTCAAATTAATATTTCTACTTGATTATTCAAATTAACATTTGTTCTTGATTATTCAAATTAACATTTCTACTTGATTATTTAATAAGTTAATCTCAGTTAATCTGTATTTTTTTGATAAACAGCGTCGATAGTGTCATTACTTTGGTTATAATAAATAAACAAGTCTTTTGGATTAAACTGTTATTAATTTTCTTTAAATAAAGTTTTATTTTACTTTAAAAAGTGGGTAAATGAAAGGATTTTTTTCCACAAATATTGTTCCCTAGTCCTAATTTCAAAAAAAAAGGAGAAATTTTCAGTTTTTGTGCTAAGAACATTACTGGTGCCTAAGTGAGTAAAAGACAAAACGAATAAAGAATTTTCCTTATTGGAAAAAAGGTACAAAATTATCAGGTCTGCGTACAATCAGTTTAATTATTTTATGATTAACATTTTCACTATCAAGGATGAACTGAAGAAATTTGGTCTATATGAGAATGCAGCTCGTAAACCACTATTAAGGCCAGTTAAATCACAAAGACTAAAATAAACTAATCGACATGTGTCAGCTATTTTCTTTTTTTTTTGTGAATTTTTGAAACTCTTTAATAAAGATATATTTTATAAAGAGTCTTTATATAACTTTTATAAAAATAATAATGTCATTTTTTTCCTGGTAACTCTTAACTTAAATATTGGTTGCTTGTATCTTTGTTGGGAATAGATTTATTTTTTTTAAAAAGTATATTTTAAATTGAAGTTTTTGGTTAAAAATGTTGTTCTTGTGTTCAAAAATATGCTAGAAAAGAATTCAGGAAAATATTTATTACCTATTGTAAAACAGTAGGGGCGGATCTGTTGTTTAAGATGTTTTGGTGAAGAATATATGGAGAACCTACACAAACTTATAGGAATAATGGCAAATAAAATTTATAAAAAAATATTTTGGAACATTAAGTACTACTGTCTGGTGAGACCTTTAATAAGTATATCAATTATTATACATATATTTATTATTTTTATACTTAATATTTTTAAAATAAATATCTAAATGTTGTTGTAATCCTAAACAATTTTTGTTGCTGTTGTATTTGTTTTATTGTTAGCATAGTTTTCAATAGTTTTTTTTGTTTTTTATATTTTACTTTTTTTTGTTTTAGATATATCAAATTTCTTTTTTTGTTATTATTATTACATATAATTTTTTTTTTTTTTAAATGTGGTGGTCTGCAATAAAAAGTAAAAGATGTTATTATGATGAATTAAAAATTTTATAAAAATAAAAATATATTATAAAAAAATATATAATAATATTAGTTCTTTTGAACACAACAGTAAAACTTGAAACGGTTTGTTTGTTCACTTCCAAAAACTCAGTACTTGCCTCACTTGCCTCAAAATTTCTGCCAGTAGTGTAAATAGAATATTTAAAAAAAGATTATATTAGTTTAAAATTTTATATAAATTTATAAGAAAAAGAAATAAGTTATTAATCATTGAAACCTAGTGATTTTTTGAGTAATTTATAAATGCATGAAATTTTTTTTTAAAGATCTCTGGAGCACCACCTACACTATGTCATTACAAGCAAAGTGTAGCAAAGCTATTTCGACAATGTGGAAGAGGAAAGAAGTTATACTTTGAAAACTCAAGGTATACATGTTTTCATTAAATGAGAATTGCCAAATAGCTTTAGTTTGGATTTTAGAAAAGTTTAAATTTTTAAGGGCATTTGTTGAGTTTGAGAATTTCTCAACTGGTGAAGATTTTAATCCGGTTGCACCTGCAGTTTATATGGCTATCAAAATGAGGTATCATGTGATTTTTAAAATAGGGTGTTTTTTATTTAACGTAACGTATTTTTCTATTAAGTAATATGAGTTTTTTTGAAAATTATTTTTCCATTTTATATTTAAGACACTTAAGAATTCCCTTGGACATCTATGTTTCTAAGCAAAGAGATGAAGAGTTACGCAAAACGTTAGCAAGTAATCCATTACAGCCTTTCAATCCAGAAACTGGGCTTCGCACAAACAGGTAAATAAAAGTTTTTTGGTTATGTAAAAAACATTAAAAAAATTTCTAACCTGTATTATGTATTGCATTTTTAGTTTTTAAGCTTCACCATAATTTTTGATGCATTTTCAAATAATGAGAATTATTTAATGTTTTTAAAAATAATATATTCACTCTTTGATATAGTGCATGCAAATGCAAATGAGTTAATAACTATTGAGGAAGATAGAGATTTTCTAAAGTTTCAAAAGGAAGGTCGAAAGGTAAAAATGATTGGAGTTGATAAGAATGAAGAAAAACGTCAAACCGAAAAAGCAAAGGAACAGAAAAAAATGTATATGAAAAGATCACATGAATCTTATTCATTAGATAAAACAGTCATTCTTGCAAGTAGCAACAGCTCCTGCAGTAATTCAACTACAGAAGAAATAAATCTTGAACAGGAATCAACATCCAAAAGAGGCACTTCAAGAAAAAAAAAGATTATGGATGAAAACCTGCTTTCCTCAT